AGTATAATGGCGGGCCAAAGCTGATTTTGGATATGTTTGTTTGGGTTTAGATATGGGGAATATTTGCCCCTTACACAAATTTACGCTATCTCATTGCGTTTTACAAATTGTTGACTAGTCCTTTTTATGGTATATCAAATTCCTGGTCCAAATTCACTTATGTAACAATTTTTAAATTAATTAATTTAAAACTGACCTAGATTTTTTACGAGGGGGGACTCCTTCTTTTGGGGTTGACTTTTAAAATTAAAAGTTCAGATACATAATAGCTTTGATAAAGGATTAATTTATTGTCGTTGAGTTTTCAGCGAAAATTTTAAAACCCCTGTGCAAAAATTAAAATTAACTTTGATGTCAGCTTTCTTTTTCATTTATTTTGAAATATCATATTGGATAAAAAACAAATTGACCTTACCCCTTTAAGATTTTAAAAAGGAAAAAATAATTTTACCCAATCGACCCCTCGGGGCGCCTGCGCGGTTTTGTCTTTTTAGTTTTGTCTTTTAAAAACGTATAATTTAAACCATGACTGGGATCAAGCAAACTCCAGAAGATCATTGGGTTCCCCAGCTGTCAAAATTGTTTAAATGGTTTCCTCTACATAAAGATAAAAAAAGGGTTAAGAATGTGAATTTCAAAAATCTTCTTGACTGTTAAACTTAAATCGTAAGTAAAACAGTATGTTTGAATAATAAATTGGTAAACTGGTCAATATAGTTGATATATTTTTTTTGATTTGGGGTGTATTTTTCATTTTAAATTTAGGAATTAACTTTTTTTTTTTTCCGTGAGCTGCAATATTATTGAAAAGGGGAAAGTTTCAAAACAGTACGATAAAGGGAAACAAATTAAGCATAATATGTCAAAGTCAATATTTAATGAAAAGCAGGCCTTTTCCCCTATCCCATGGTTCCGAATATGGCCCATTCCCCATCCAAATTATGTTGTGTTTTTTTCCCAAGCCCCCCCCCCCCCCCCCCCCAAAAAAAAAAAAGAAAATAAAATCCCAATCTAGAAGTAGGCAATTTGAAAGAAAAAGTATCGCATTTTCAATTTTGGTGACGCGAAATAGTGTTACGGAATATATTCATGTTAGGATTTTTAATAGATATCAGTTTTACATTTGTACACATTTGAGCCTGTCCTTGTATTTTTGATATGACAGAAAAAGCTGAACAGTTTAAGTAAGATTTATTTAGATTTATTTCAACAATTGTAACATATTAAATGCTAGCATATTTTCCCAAATCGGCAAATTTCACGATAACCGTTTTTCCCAAATTGGAAAATTTTATGACACAATTTTCCGAAAATTTGCCACGTGGCGTTTTCTCAAATTAGAGGAAAAAGGCCTTACAAGGTTAAGAGTCCAATATACAATAACATATGTATGAATATATATCATCCCCAAACAAGATAACATAGATTCTAATGCATATACAATTAAGTAAACAGGGATTAAGTTTATTAAGTTTAAGGTATGCAATTGATATTAACTTCTTTATTCAACATGTTTGTTATAAGCATATCTGAGTAAGAAGTAACCTTAATAAGTATACAAATGTACATGTATTCATTGCTCCTGACTTGAGCATTGCTTATTTCCATGCTGTACCCTTTGCTGCTTTGATTTTCTCAGGGTGCTTCCCAAAGTGGAGGAAAAAAAACACTGATAAGTAATGCTGCATATATTTCAAAAATATTAATGTAGAATGTAATGAATAAATAATTACATTTAGTTAACAAATATGTTGTAAACTTCAAACTCGTATATCCGCTTATCAAGGTTTAGTAGGAAAGAAGTAGCCAGATATTACTGTTTACATAAACTAGAAAGATTAAGTAATAAAGATATGTTATGCTCTATAATTTGACATTTGAAAATGCTGATAATTAATAATTGTACAATCTCATTTAGAATGTAAAATAAACATCTTTCCAGTACATACAGATTAGATATGTTATGTTTGAAACACTAAGCAATACATGTATAGGTAAATAGTCAATATGAATACGTAGTGCAATTAAATTTGCTGCATCAGTTATAGCACGCCCGGCAAACTGTCGCTCCACTTCAAAATTGTGGTGTACGGTAAAACGAGCGAACGGCATTTCCGAGATAGAGCGGAAGGCGATTTAAAAACGCACTTAATTGGTAAGTATTGTTTATTTTTTTTGTCTTGTTAATTCATTTTAGTTGTATTTTTTTCGAAAAAAACCGGAAAATGTGGTTACGTGTGGAATTGATTTAGGCTTCCAAATATCTAAGCTGTTACAAAAAGAAAATTACCTTAAGCCCGTGGAGAACTTTCTCCCGACGAGAAGCGAAACGATGATTTTAGAATATTGAACATTCCCCAACCATAGAAATGCCATACCTTTGGATTTCTTGAAAAATGTATTAGTAAATTATCAACCGTAAAAAATTGTCCTTCGTGAAAAATAAATTAAACTCTGAAAGATTTTTTAAATTTTTATAAACCGATTTTTTTTCGAAATAGTGGACGAAAGGGCAAGAGATGGAGCAAAAGGTTCGATGTTGAGCGCAAGGCGATATTAATTTGACGTATTAGGAGGAGCGTAGTCTATGATTTTTTTACATATAAAAGCTATAGAAGTTAAAATAGACGTGATCAAGTGTTAAGACATCGTCGGATACCCACGGCCGAACCATTAACATTGATTGCATGTTATGTAACATGTTTATCAATCGTGGGTATCCGACGATGGTGTTAAGACCGAGATATATATACATTTTGAAGACGACTAATAAAGTGTGATATCCTTTCAACGACTTTAGCGTAATAAATGTAATCTCGAAGGTGTCACCTATGGCTTCCGTGTAGATTCCATTATTTATGTTCGATTTTTGGATGAGGCCCGACCATTGAATCATACACATGTATGCATGGCATACTACAGAATGCCACTTATTCGAGGTCAATCATGATTTTTGACACGGTTATGTACATTTAAAAACGTGTGTCCCTGCAAATGCGAAAAATCGAAATATTTTTAGTTCTACCGCGAAACAAATGTTTCCGAGCAGGTACGTGTAACTCGATTGTTCACGCCAAAAATGTTATGTTTTTCAAAAAGTTAGAATATTCAATGTGCAGAACAAGAAAACAAAATTATGCAAATGCACGGAACACATGAAATTAAAAATGGATCACTACTACCCGAGTTCAGTTCACAGTGACTTTCTGTAATTAATAGCTCTAAACGTACCTGTTCTGAGCAAAAACACAAATAAGCCAACGTTTTCATGAAATGTTGTAGGGGTGGGGAATCGCTAATGAAAATGGTTGAACAAGGTGTCAGTCTTTATAAGGATATAACACATGTTCCAGTTATTTTTTCAAGATACTTCCTCCGCTTATTTAGCATTGTTGTTTAGTTTATTATTTTCGTCTGTAAGTGTAAATAGAAATTCTACTAATAGCTAGGTCTATTATATTAATTGATAATTTTTAGTCCGTACACCAAACTGAGTTCTGCCTTCACTTTGAGAGGAAAATAATAAACTAAACAACAATGCTAAATAAGGGGAGGAAGTATCGTTTGAAAACATAACTGGAACACGTGTTATATCCTTATAAAGACTGACACCTTTTCAACCATTTTCATAGCGATTCCCCACCTTACAAATTCATGAAAACGTGGCTTATTTGTGTTTTTGCTCAGAACATGCACGTTAGAGCTATTAATTACAGAAAGTCACTGTGAACTGAACTCGGTAGTAGTGATCCATTTAATTCAATGCATTCCATGCATTGCATAATTTTGTTTCTGTTCTGCACCTTGAATTTCTAAATTTTCGAAAAACATAACATTTTTGCGTGAACAATCGAGTTACACGTACCTGCTCGGAAATATTTGTTCGCGGTAGAACTAAAAATATTCGATTTTTTCGCATTTGCACGGACACACGTTTTTAAATGTACATAACCGTGTCAAAAATCATGATTGAACTCGAATAAGTGGCATCCTGTATTATGCCATGCATTAATGGGACTGTATGATTCAATGGTCCGGCCTAATCCAAATTCCGAACATAAATAATGGAATTTACACGACAGCCATAGGTGACACCTTCGAGATTACAGTTATTACGCTATAGTCGTAGAAAGGACATCACAATAAATTAGTTCTCTTTAAAAGGTATATATATCTCGGTCTTAACACTTGATCATGTTTATTCTAACTTCTATAGCTTTTATTCATAAAAATCATCGACTACGCTCCTCCTAATACGTCAAATTAATATCGCCTTGCGCTCAACATCGAACCTTTTGCTCCATCTCTTGCCCTTTCGCTCCACTACTTACGAAAAATATCGGTTTACAAATTTAAGAAATCCTTCAGGAGTAATTTATTTTGCACGAAGGACAAGTTCTTATTACGGGTTGATAAATTTACTAATACACCCTTTTTCAAGAAAATCCGAAAGGTATGGGCATTTCTATGGTTGGGAAGTTCAATATTCTACAATCATCGTTCGCTTCGTTCGGGGAGAAAAGTTCTCCTGCGGGCTTTAATATAATTTTTCTTTTTGTAACAGGTTAGATCATTGGAAGCCTAAATCAAATTCCTACACGGAACTAACATTTTCCGTTTTTCGAAAAAAATACAACCTTAAATAAATAACAAAGACAAAAACATAAACCAATACTTACAATTAGGCGTTAAAATCGGCCTTCCGCTCTATCTCTGAAATGCCGTTCGCTCGTTTTACCGTACACCACAATTTTGAAGTGGAGCGACAGTTTGCCAGGCGTGTTATAGGGAACTCAGCTTTCGAAACATAGTGTATGCATTCCGTTATTCAAATGTATCATACTCAGTAAGAAATATCTTGATTTCAAAACATTTTGCAATATATATAATTATAAAATACCTAAGGACTGGCATAGGCCATGTACATCTTTAGTTATTTATAATTTAATCTAATTTTTATGCATAATAATATTGTGCTACGTGCATTTGTTTTTTTTTAGACAGCAAAAGAATGGGTGACGCATTCGAAATAGCATTTTCGTTTGATACAACTGGATCTATGTACAGTTGCCTTGAAGAAGTCCGGAAACGTTTAAGAGAAATGGTACAAGATCTGAAACGAACGATTCCTGGTATCAAAATTGCTATTTTTGCCCATGGCGATTATTGTGATGCTGGGAGTACCTACGTCACAAAGTATGTTAACTTCACAAATGATCCGAACACCCTTTGTAATTTTGTAAGCAATGTCGGAGGAACAGGGGGCGGAGATACTCCAGAATGCTATGAATTAGTTTTAAGAGAGGTGCAGGAAAATCTTGCGTGGAGTACAAACTCTCAAAAATCTTTAGTAATGATAGGTGACGCCCCTCCACATGAAAAGTCAGAGAGCCAAAACTATCGCCGCCTGGACTGGAAGGAAGAAATAGAGCGTCTGAGGAAAATGGTTTGTAAACATTTGTTAATGTACTCGTAAAAAGATGCAAATTTGCATACTGTACGTAACACCCACTGCAGAATCTATATAGGCCCATCAAAATGACTACATGTTAAAAAAAATCAAAAAAAACTCGTAGAAAATTAGGGCTTCAGTTCCCCTATCGAAGATATGAATGCATCTTTTATAAATATATTTTTTTCATATAATTAAAGGACATTAAAGTGTATGCTGTTCAGGTAACTATTATCACAGGGGACGAAAAAATTTTACCAGTATATTTGGGGCCAATCATTTGGGTACTACATTTTTTGTCGAACATAAACGAAGTTAAGGATCCCCCCTTATAAAATTTTTCTTTTGAAAAACAGCCCTTTGACTAATTTTAAAATTTTTGGTTTTATTTGATTATTACACAAAAAATTTGTTGCCCAGTTAATCTTCCCCGAGGGGAAATTAAATTGTTTTGCAGGAAAAAAGCACAAATTACTAATATTAAACAACATAAAACTTTTATGCTTCTTTCAATTAAATGTTACTCAAATAAATGTGGACATTTACACAACTTTTTAAAGCTTAAGTAATTTTATGCAGAACATGTATTAAAATTGCAATGCCTAAAACATTTTCGAAGGTATTTTATATGAATGTTGTGGGAGTTTTGACAGGTACAATTAATTGTTTAAGGTGCATGATATTTTTTTCTTCTAGTTGCCTAGTTCGTCTATTACCATATCACCTGCTAGTTCATCTACACCAAAAGCGATTGAAACACCGAGACCATGCGAAGAATTTGTTGCGACAGAATCTGATGGAGAATACGATGATGACGACGATGATAGCGATGATGAAAACGGTTTGTAAGACTATTTTATTAAACTAAGCAATTTAGTGTTAATGTAAATGCTGTGATTAGCTCGAAATTAAATTTCGAATGGTCCGTAGCATTTTGTGATAAGCTTGTAAATTACATGTCGGCCCTAGCAAATAAGCTTGAAATCGCATTTCGGATGAGCCCGTAGCAAAGCCAATCCAGTGAGAAGCTTCTAATTACATTCCAGATGGGCCTGTAACATTAAGACTTAAGCCAGACATCTTTGGTTAAAACAGAAGCACATTCCATGCTCACTAACTTTTGTAAAATTTTATTTTAAAAAAAAAACTGGCAACAGCGGTTGCATTATGATTTCCTTTTAGGGAACATGGCTTTATCAAGTTGATTATAAGTATTGACTGTATTTTATTTTATTTATTTCACATACATGTATTATGTATGCTTGAATCTAAAGTTTTGTTTTTCTATGCAGATATATGTGCCTCATTGATTGTATTAGTGCTAAATGATAATACTGTGATTTCTGTAAAAAAAACGTCACCTTTACAAAATAATTGTAATATTGTTTAGTTGCATTGCTTATTGCCAGCATAATTTCTTTTTCTAACATACGAAATTGTATGCAGTTTCAACATTAATGCTTAATGTCAATGTATAAAAAGCGTTGTTTTTTTATCCAATTAATTTTATTGAACTTTTCCATAGTCCTTATGAATTAAAACACATAACTAAAACAAATGTTTATGAATTCATATTTAAGGATTACGCTGTTTTATATGCAAGAAACAAAAACCTTCAAATGAGTTCCCAAAGTCGCCTATATCAGAGGAATGCAATCATTATCCTGGACACTGTTTAAGGGTAAATATAAATGCCTACGTACCAGTTTTCACTTTAATTGCTTTTAGAGAGGTGTTCTTTTGCTTAAAGCATCTGACTTACTATTCCAGGACTGTTGGTTTGAGCGCTATTAGTATCTCGACCTACCGACACCAATTAAAGCAGGGATTTTAAGAAACTACTAGTCGCTTAATTGTTCACTGGTTTATATAATATAAAGTAAAATACAATATTGCCTGAATGCAAGTAAGTTTTCACATGTAAAATTTTAGTGGGTGCGCAATGGTAAACATATTTTAGAAATTTCAAGATCCATTGAAATGTGTGTTAGCTGCAACTAGGGCCAGAAGTATATCTCTTGTTTATATAAAATGTTTAAGATTACATCTTGGCAACAAAAATTCTTCCCAATCATGCTAGAATTAAAACTGATATGTGCTTATGGACATTAACCTGCATTTCAGTGTGTTGTTGAACATGTCACGAGAACTGGCGAATGTCCTCATAAAAAATGTGACGTTACTGTTGAACCAGACTGCGAAATGGTGAAGTTCTTTCAAGCCAAACTGGACAGGATGTTCGTTGACTATTCTAAAGTTTTAGAGGAAAATCGAAAACTGATGACAGGTCATGGTGGCCCAGTCTTTTCTGTCTCCGCTATGAATGGTGACACGGCCTGGATAGATTATAATCCTAGCATGACAATTGTAGAGTTGAAGAGGGAAATAGAAACACAACTTGGCATAAAAGAGTCTCAGCAAAAGATTCTCTACAAGGAACGAGGTCTAAAGGTACCTGCATTTTGTCTGAAATATTTCGTAATTCTTATGGCTTTCTACTTGTCAAAGTATAATCACATTCTCATATATCATTGGTCATTGTATTATTTATGTTTGCTTACCTAAATATTCCGATCACTGCTCACATACTTTAATGAAAACTTATGACAATGTAAAGAAGTCTTTAACATTCATCAAGTTTTCGAATCTTTATTTACATCAATTCTATAATTTTCGTTGGGTTTAAACGTAATTATAAGTGTGTTAATGTCCAGTCTCACTTATTTAGTTATTTTGATTTTAAACTTTCTTCTTGGCAATATTATGTGCGAGACCAATGCACTGTTAGGTAAAAAAAAATATCATGCATATTGTTATACCAAGCGTAAAATACTCAGTATGAGTTGAATTGTGTAAACATTTATAAAAATAGAGCAAGTTGAAAATGTTAACATATTGTCGAATTTTCCTCTTAAAAGTTTAATGTATGTTAATTTTTCAGACTGTCAAAGGACCAGGGCAAAATTTCACACTATCAGATTATGGAATTACAGAGAACACCTCGCTAAGCCTTATTGTGCCGTTGTACTGTATACCAGAGAATCTTGATCACGTGGTGTTTGATCTCTCTTGGGAGTTTCCAAAAGTAAATCCAGATTTCCTTGACGCCTCGTGTCTGGCTTTCGAGAAAACTGAATTTATTCAAGTCATTGACTGGAACCACTCTACTAATGACTATTATCTGAAAGGTAAGCCATTCCAGAGTGTAATATCATTTTAAAAGGATCATACATTATAATAAGGCCAAAAATGATACTAAGCAATCTGGCAATCATAATACGTTAAGATTATTTACTCAGGGGAAATAATTTTGAAAGGGCAAATGATTCTATATTATTCTACCATTAAAATAATCTCGTAAAGAAAAATATCCAAAAAATTGTTTGAATAGTATATTGTATGAATAGTTTACGTCACGTAAGTCTTTGCTATTTAATACATAATAGTAATGTAAATGTATATAAATAAGTGCAAAATGATTTTCATGTTTAGGTGAATAGGACTTTTTCTGGTATATATAATCAAACAACGTATGTGTGAACCATTTTAATTGGTGAGATATATGAAATGTGAACACATTGTCTTTACGTTGTTTAAATATGTGGGAAAGAGAAAGTACAATAAGGAAAATGATTTGAGAAAATAATAAAATAATAAAAAATGTTAAAAGTTCTTACATTGAATAGAATGTCCTTTACAGGGGCAATTCAACACTCTGCTAAAAATGTCAAGACAGCTGGAGGACGGATCGGTCATCAGAGTATCCACGTGTATTTGAAGCGGTTGCCTAGCAACATTACTCATCTGTACTTCACATTAAGCTCATGGAAAGCACCAAATCTCTCCGCCTTCACTAACCCAAGTCTTCAGTTTTACGAAGCATCCGATCCTGATACCAACTTGTGCAGTACAACAATAAGCCACGCCCTGAGCAGTCAGGCGGTCGTCATGTGCTCTGTTGTCAGGGCGGGACCACAATGGCAAATATTTGAATGTGATGTCAGTGGATGCGTCAATGGAAATACAAAGAAATATAATCCAATTCGGGAACAAATAGCTAACCTGATAGCCAATGAATAAATTCCCCTGTAAACTCTGAATACTTTTGTAAATTTTGACATTGGTATTGCACTCTGACATTTGTTTAAAGGTATATTTAGTATTTGTCTGACGTTAACTTTAATATTGAACCTTTTGAAGCGTTCATTTATCAATTTTTGCTGTGCAATGTTTAAAAAAGAACATGACTGTCACGAAGTGTTTATAGGAGAAAAAACTATTGTTGTCTTCTAAACTGTGCAATTTCATGGTATATCAGATGGTCGAAATTTTGAGTTTATATACGATACGATTACAAATTAACTTTCAAATTGAGCTAAGACGAATGTTCAACGAAAAGTGTAAAAACTTAACTTAGTTATGAAAACACAAATGTTACAAATTCATAGCTTGCGTTTAATATATCTTTATAACTTTTTGTTGTTTGTATTATCAAGTTTTTGCGTATTTGCTAATACTTAATTGTGTTTTAGGACCATTAGGACGTATAACTGTAATTAAGTCTTCATTATTGCCGATGTTAACTCAGTTACTTATACCTCTTCCAAACCCAAATAGTCACTGGATAAATAATATAAATAAAATTTCTTTGACTTCAAATGGAATGGTCCATCTAGAATAAATAATAGCATTGTCATTAAGGATTATACAGAAGGTGGTTTGAAAATGACTGATGTGTTATCATTTATGAATAGTTTTAAACTGACCTGGCTTAGAAGGTTTTTAATAGGAGGTGATAATAAATGTTATGCATTAGCTAATGTTATTATAAATACTGAAAAATTGTTCAATTGTGGAAGATTGTATGCAGAAATAGTATATATTTGGAAAGATGTTGTTAAATGTTATATTGATTTTATAAACATTTTCCCAATTGATAGTATGGACAAATTCTGTCGTATGCCATTGTTTATAATCATAACTTTATAATGGATCATGAACATGTGTTCTTTAAGGATTAGTATGTAAAGGGGATTAGATATGTCAGCGATTTATTGGATGCTAGCTAAGCGGTAATTTTATGACAAAGCATGAATTTGATAGAAAAACTGGCTTATATACAAGTTTCTTTCAATTTGAAGGATTCATTAGAAGCATCAAATACTTTTTAAAAGACAGAACAGAATTAATCAGTGACAAATCTATTCCCCACCTCCCCTTGATACCATGTTATTTTCAACCTATATTACTATGTAAACAAGGTACTTCTATTATTTACAATATGTTGACAACCAATTATGAAAAGCCTACCCCCAAGGTGCATGGTGTAGTGTTTTTGATATACATGTAGTTCCTTTGGAGTGGAAACATTGATACAGTTGGATTTCTAAACTAACAAATGATACGTACTTTTTATTGTTTCAAACTAGGCTTTTGCATAGAATTTAAGCAACAAATACTTTGTTGAAAAAAAAAATGAATATTGTGACTGATGAAAAAATGTTCTTTTTGTTAAAGTGAGAATGAAACAATTGTTTCGGGAATGTGAAAAAGTAAAGTAATTTATAGCTTATATCAGATATCAATGAATATGTCAAAACACTCAAAGTAAATTTTGAGATAGATTGCAAAACTTTTATTTTCGGAAATCCCCCAAAAAAGTTTTGAAAGTTATAACATACTTTACCTAGAAATCAAAGGATATTATATGTTATTTTGGTTTTGGAGTGATATATGTGGATATATTACCTGTTAAGATTTTATATCACCCGAGCCGTTAGGCGAGGGTGATATTTTATCTTGGCAGGTAATATATCCACATATATCACTCCAAAACCAAAATAATAATTTTATTACCCTTCCCCTGCCGAGTTTAGACGATTTTTTAAAAAATCATTGCTTTTTCAAATGAAACGTCGAAATAAGATTCCCTTTAGGATACCTCTTCGTCACAACATGACGTCACATAAATACATGACGTATCTTTCCCGTACCTTACAAAAGTAAACAAGAGAAAAGGAGTAGTCTATTGAACGCACGTTTTTGTAATTAATATCAAGCTTTCACAAGGTCATATTTGTTTTTGATACTGATGGTAATATGTATCATTACTCTAGTTTGGAAAATATTGATCATTTGACAGTTAAAAAGTGCTTTTAAATCGGAATTTACACCGCGTAAAAATCGAACCGTACGCGCATCACCTCGGCGCATGTTGTTTACAACGTTGGGTACCAAACGGGGAAATTTAGTGTGTATATTACCCGTCTGGCTCGGTTATATCAATTTCTTTCGGGTGATCAATATCCAATCAAAAAGGCGGAAAAAATCTGGAAGGGTAATAAATTTATTTATGTAAGAGAAAATGTATTGTTCCAAATCTGAATGGGCCGAAAGGAAGGTTAGAATTAGCCTAATCAATTGTTAAAAATACATTTTGGAAAATAAACTGTCAAATTGGTCCATGGTAAAATTACTATGTGAAATATAATTTATCAATGATTTGCTTTTGATTAAATTAAAGATTGTTAAAAGTGGATTGTTCTACATTTCTGAATTGGCACATATTATTGTTTTGTTTTTTGGATATTCTTATAAAGTATTGCTAGAAGTAAATAAAATGCAAAGTGATTCAGAACGAACATTTAAATATATTAATATGTTGTATTTCATTGTAAGCCAATTCACTTAAAAAAATACAAAATGATGTTGCAGTATTTGTATATTGAAATTGTTTTGTCAAATTTCATTGCATTAACATTATCTGAATTATATTGTTATATTGATGTTACATATGTATATGACATGCATTTGTAAATTTGTAATAAAAAAAATACTAAATTGCGTTTTTGTTTTTTATCTCATATTTGTTTCATATAATGTTTAATTCGTCTAGCAAATGTTTTTTTTTTGTTTGTTTTTTTGTTACTTTTTTGTGTTTGTTTTGCTGAATGATGTACATTGTAAATGTTTTTTATTTATTTTGTCTTAATTTGTCTTGGCAATATTTTTGAAATTGAACTAACATATCATTTGTGTCGATTTGTTAACATGCCAATGCTCTGAAGTTTTGGCCTTATAGCTAACGTAACATTTATCAGTAAACATATGGAAATATGATGCACAAGCATTGAATTGTTTTGTCTATATGTAATTTGTTGAACACTATATACTTATAAGAAGTTTAATATATAGTTCATGCAATGAATTATTAGAAAGACATACATGTATACATATTTAATACATTGAAATCCTTAAAAGTTAAAAATGTTTATGTAATGAATATAAAGTGAGATATAAAATGGAATCTGATCTTGGTTATTAAACAGCTCGTCGCATGAATGACAGACATCCAGTCATTATTTACATAGTGATAGCTTTCTGCTTCAAAATATAATTGTATTGGAATATGTAATCTTGTGCAAGTCGCCCTATATTGTACTACAATTATGAGGAAAGTTTTATTGATTAACTGAAATGTTAAAAGACAAAATTATGCTTTGTTTCACAAGTGTTAATAAGAAAATGGTTTTTACTAAACAGTAATCAAAGCGCAACCTAAGCGGCAGAGTTCGTTCAAACAGAATTGTGTATATTTAAAGAAAAACAAATAAAAGCACATCCGTATATATTGTACTACTTCCATGAGTATGAATATACAATGTGCGGGTGCAGACGTTTCTGGTAATAGTGCATGTTTTCCCAAAGGCAAAGAATGAGCAGGGAGTATGTTATTAAACTTTGCGTGATGATGATGTTTTAAAAAATAAATTTATGAGAACAAATTTTATGGTCACCAGCCCTCTTTCTGAGTTATATGGCTCCTGAAACTGGGTTATTCGATCTTTGAGTCCCTATCAGGAGATGTAATCGGGTCGTTGCCTTCCTAAATGAATACATTTACCTTAACGGCGAGAAAGGGAAAAAACGATCCTGATTCTCTAATAAGTGACCGACTTTGGCTTATTTTCCTACAATAGATGTAACTGTTTTATGTTATTTAGTAAAAGATGCAATTGTCTCTGTGTTTTAAACTATGAAGAGTTCAATTACTTTCTAAAATTTTATATATGTACATGTATATCCCCGATCACGGTCGACTAGACCGATTGTTTTGTAGTTTTGACCATTTGTTTTCCTTATCTATCATTATGTCATTTGAGATTCATGCTTTATATTTTACGCCTTTTTCAATTTTTAAATACAGAAATGTCCTGTCTTATTCGGCTTCATTTGTTTCGATATATCGGTTATACTGATGCGTTTTCACTGGCCCCTCTCAGTTTCTATTTTAATCGAATGCATGCTTTGCTACACATTCCATTATATTTAGTCGAATGCAAGCTGTCCCGCATATTCCATGTTAATCGAATGCAAGCTGCTCCAAATCAAATGCAAGCTGCTCCGCATATTCTGTTAACCGAATGCAAGCTGCTCACATATTACATGTTAATCGAATGATAGCTGCTTGCATATTACATTATAACAGAATGAAAACTGTCCCGCATATTCCATTATCGAATGCAAGCTGCTCCAAATCGAATGCAAACTGCTCCAAATCAAATGCAAGCTGTCCCGCATATTATGTTAATCGAATGCAAGCTGCTCACATATTACATGTTAATCGAATGCAAGCTGCCCCGAATATTCATCTATAATCAAAGGCAATCTGCTACTAATATTCAATTATAATCGTATGCAAGCTGTCCCGCATATTCCATTTTCCGAATGCAAGCTGTTACACGTATTCCACTAATTATCGATTGCAAGCTACTCGATATATCTATAACCCTTAAACACATAGTTTACCGCGTAGGATAGCATTTTAAAGTCAAATTACTCAAAATATGCATAAGTAATAAGTAACGTATAGAAAAATATATGAGCACCCTAGATTGAAATCTATTGAGAAAAGCCAACTGGATATGAAAAAGAAAATAAGAATAAATGAGAAGATACCGTTTAATAAGAGTGCAACACATCAAACACAGAGTCGTGATGAAATAAAGAAATACAAAATGTATGTATGAAAATGTTCAAATAACTCGCATCGTTTGTCTTATTTTGACCTGAAAAGTTCGTTTGGTCCAAACATGGTCTAAATTGCAACAAACAAAAACGGGAATATATAGTAGTGTCTAAGAATTTAATGAAATACGTAACATATTTATTTATATATACCATCATTCTGAAACGTTTCAAATGTTTATATATCATTTAAAGGTACTTCACAGAGGTAAAATTTATCCATATTCGATGAAGGTGACCAGTCAAAGTTCTTATTTTTATCCAGTTTTATTGCGGGCTTGCCAGTTTCCGGTTGGCTTTCAGCCCATTTGAAGTATGTCATCGGTACACCATTACTAAATTTCCAGTCGGATCCGCTCGGATCGTTTCGATATCCGTCTATGATAACATTTTCTTCTTTGTGGAACTTTTCTAAAAAAAAAACAATTAGAAAAAATGTATTATTTGAGTGAAGTATAATTGTAGAATCTAAATTGTAATAAAGACATTTTATCGTACAACAACTGACAATTTTCTGCAATTGACCACCTCTATGTTAGGGCTTCACACAAATCACGTGCTGATGGTTTTATCACATGATTGTGTTAAGATGGCGGATACGCCACAGATATCGTTGAACAATTGTTTTATCTGTTATAAATAGCGGCATTATAATAAATATCAAAATTTAAAAGATAATCATATAATGGCAGAAATCTAATCCTGTAAGGGGAGATCACTAGGTGGGAGATCGTTCAACAAGTTTGGAAATAAACAATATGCACGAATATAAGATTAACATAGAGTACCGTTAATACTGATTTGAACACCGGTATGTATTTTCTTGGCAAACATTTTTCATGTTTAGACAAACATTTAACGATCTGACGCACAAACAGAATTATGAAGACATATCTTTTATTCGACCAATATAACCTGGATAACCCTCAAACCTACGTCCTCAGCTACAGCTTGATCTAATTTTAGAGGATAAAACTTCAACTTCGGCTGGCTCGAACTACTGATTTATCGAACAAATTTGCTCTGGCCCTCGAGTTCGAGTCAACCAAGTTCGACTGTATTACAACTTTACTTATCATTGGACGGATGCAATGTGCCATCGTGATTAATGTACCTTACAGTTTGAAAATGAAATGTCTGTGAATCAAATATTTTCATATACCTGCTACGATATTGGTTGTCAAAGTACACGCTGATAAACACTTGTATTTATCAATATACAATACATACCCATGAAAGCGACAGCAGTGGCGTGTTGTTTGTCGTTCTGTATTCTTAGAATACGTCCACCAATTGATTCACAAAGCTCTGTCGCAGTATCTCTGCTTACTTTCGTGTCGGATAACATTTTGAAGCACATATTTGTATCTTGATAAAAATGAAACCCAAGAGATGTAGGGCACGACGGCTGTTTCATGGACTTCACTGAATTAAAGAGTAAAAAAATAACAAAAAACAAATGAGTCGCACCATGACAAAACCAACATGGTGCGTTTGCGACCAGCATGGATCCAATCCAGACTGCGCATCGGCGCAGTCTGATCAGGATCCATGCTGTTCGCTATCAGTTACTCTACTTGTAATAGGGTAAGTAAGCGAACAGCATGGATCCTGATCAGACTGCGCGGATGCGCAGGCTGGTCCGGATCCATGCTGGTCGCAAACGCACTATGTTAGTTTTGTTATACGCGGCTCAAATATTTCTCTTTTTTTCAAATTAAACATCCTGATGCTCCAATGCACTACCAGGTTTCAGGGGCATGGCGAGTGTGGGATGTGATGTGCGTTGCCAACGAATCCAGCCTATTGCTTGAAATTGAAATTAGGGAATATTCATAAATTGATCACTAATGAAGTAGAATTTTATTATCATGAATATTATAATATGACTGTGAAGAAATAACAACTGTTACATTAGTTTAGTTTTCGTCATGGAAGGGGTGGGGGTAGCATGTTCATTTTCAGGGATTTTTAATACGAGTAAATGCATTATATCTTACTTTTTTACATGTATAAAAAGAGCAAATAACGCAAATAAAAAATATCTTTATTTTCATGTGAGACATATTTACTTACTTTACTTAAGTATAAAAAAACAACAACAAAAACACGAAATCATTATTCGTAGGACATTTATTTTCGTGTTATTTCGCGTATGAATCACTCCACGAATTTAAAAGCTGCATGTTCGTGATGACCTATAGAAAAATGTTTTTAAAGAAAAGTAAAGATATCCACCATTTAAAAATAATGAATAAATTATGTCGTATGCAAGAAATGATTGATTTTGCAGTATATATATTACCATATTTTTTCTGCGTGACTTACGCTGTGTGGGCTATCTTTCCATGTTCTGATCTATGTTTGGTAATATTCGTAAACTGTCTAATAGTATCGATAAAATATATCACAAACTAAAAAAAAACTTTTACGACATTTGGACTAAACTACCGTAAACTGTAAACGCTCCAACACCCTTAAGTGCCGTTTACAACGTGTATATTATTTTCTTTGTTGACCTTTTTATATACATTTTGTATTATAAAGTTTTTTCTTGAAAATTCGCATGAATCTTGAGGAAACTAATTCATTTCGTCTAATGTATACAACGCACAAATTAAAAAGAAAAGAGATAGGGAGAGGGGGAAAAAAAGACAAAAAACACGAAATTTCATGTCCACGGAATTAAGTCAATTCACAAATACAGAGATTTATATAAACGTAACACCGCTTTTAAAAGCTTGCATTAAAATATCTTAGCACATAAGACATGTTTGGCATATATTTTCCAGAAGAAAAATGAAACATACCTATGTATTTCCAGCCGACTTCTCCGTTGACATTATTATCGGTTACGTCCCCGGATATTCCTGTTACGTTGTCGGACACAAGGCGACACTCTTTCGTCAAATCATTTTCAAAATATGCGGAGCATTTTGGGTTTCTGTGACAACTCCGCCAGCAGGTTAACGGACTACTTTTCGCGATCACTTCCAAAATGTTCACAGATCCATTGCCATGGTTGAGGGATTCCGTTTCGGTATACACGTAAAACTCGACACAATACGAAGGCAATGGTGTCACTAAAATTATAATGTACCATAAAAATTTGAAACTCATTTTTCTTTTTAACTTTTCAAAAACAAATGAAACTTTTGTCGTGTCTTCCGTTTTCTTTTTAGAATAGAATCAACACAATAACAAAATGCTTTTGTGGTTATTTATGTTTTTAAAGATGTAAAATTATATTGAAATAACCATGATTGAACTACTACAACGACCTGGTTCCAAAGCGCTTGTCAGCAGATCTGTTTCTTTTGCTTAAAAAGTATTGAAAACATTATGTCATGTTCGTTTGTCGTGTTCATTAGTTGTTTATAACTTTCCACATCGCTATGCATTTAGTAAAACAGAACCGCCTTCCGGAAATAAAGAACAAAGTCACGTTCATGTGTCACAATTGACATCTTGCACCTTTCCTCGTAATGAGAGGCTCTATTATGATATATTTATGTCCTTCCTGTTTATCAATGACAGGAACATCTATAGAATTGTTGAAGACTGTACTTGAAAGTCATATTTCGCTATTTAATTCAACAAAAGAAAACAATCCGCCAAGTTAAAATTGATCGGAAGACCGGAAATGTATCGCATTGCATTATGGTAATTCTATTTCTGTTCTTCTAACGCGACGAATAAGTAGGATTCTTAATAATGGAAGAAGATTTATAGGATTTTGAAGAGTTTAGCGGAAATGATTTTGCTGTTTACAATCAAAACTGGGCCATTTCCAAAGCCCTCAGAAGAAACGCTTCATGTTGTTTGAACAAGGTAATAATTGCAGTTATCACGCTGCTTTACCGATGAAATAAAATCATTCGACGCACTTAATTAGAATCGTTCTGTTAAATCTGTTTAACAATTTAAAACTCTAAATTGAAACCTTCTAAAACAAACATTCTGAGTATTTAAGGATAAAGCTATGTTTAAAACGAATGGATGATGAAAGAGATAACAAACAAATCACTAGCATTGAATTGAGATTGCATTGTCTACTTTGACGGCCAGATATCAGTGGATATGCAGAGATGTTGTCAGCCTCCTTTGTTCGGAGTAAAATTTGAATAACGTATTAAATTAAAGCCCTTTAATGTATTTGTAATTTTGTCTGTATCGAAAGTATAGTGTTACTGGGCAACAAATGTAAAATAAAGACGACGCTTAATTACTCATAAAACCCCTTTTATCGTCGATGTTTTTTCTGCTGCGTGTACTTTGACATGAGAAGTAAGATAAGAGATAAAATATATTTTTATTCAGGGTCGCGAGTAAGAATTGCAGACTCGGTTTGATTGAGTTTGTACATGAGGGATAATAAAAAGTGTAATGAGCATACGAAATGGCGTATTATCACGCCCCCGTTATGTGAATGCCAAAGTATTTCCCAAATATTTGGTAAATTTATAACTGAAATTCAAGTATTTCTTCATTGTTTTCGTTTGTCACAATATTTTTGGCTAACATGTTTTGTATTTCAAGTTATTCACCTACCAAATACGTGCTTAAAGTACTAAAAGCGATGTTATCATTTAAAATATGCAGCTAATTCTGGCTTCGAAGTGCATCCTTAACCGTGTGCCTGCTGTCGGCAGATTCTACCCCTTTCAGCTATGGAGACCAAGATTAGCCGCAGCCGGCATACCCATGCTGTATTTTTTGTCCACATTAAAATGATGGACAAGTCCATTTAAGACATTTAGCAAGGGAAGTGTTAATTCGCGTTTATATTTATCAAATGAGCGGGAATGTTTGTTAAGCCTGAAAACCAATGCCATTTGATGCATACTATGATATTGATAGGCCTATGGCTGATAGAAGTAAATGTTCTACCGAGATAAGTGTCGTCAGCCGAGGCATTAGCCAATGATGGCATTATGTTGTCATTGTTGAACATTTTGTCGTATCACCCTCAGTGGAATGTGATATTTTCATCATACCTAACAAATCAAAAAAGACATTTCAAACTAAATAATCATATCTAGATCTCGGCACCCAGTAGCGTGTTTAGTAGCGTCGGCGGATCGAAAAATGATGTTGTCATCTGACGTTACGGATTGTTACCCTCTGACGCCACAAAAAGTTATATCGCTATAGGCTATTTAACAATATTAAATGAATACATGTACATGAAGTTGTATTGTACATTGTATTCAACATAACATAAACTAAAATTGTGTTGACAATAAATAATACAAAAAACAATAAATTATAATGTTTGAAGCAATACATACGGTGGCATAAAAGTGACCTTTGCAAAAAAAAATGTTTTTCGTATATATATTATTTTTTTTTCGTACATATTTTATTTTAGTTTTGCATACATATATTATTTTATTACAAATGGCGAAGTGTTTGAAAATGGTGTTTTTATCCAAACATCTACTTTGCAAATGGCGTCATGTTTTCAAATGGCGTAATTATTCAAACCCCTTTTTCAAATATGGGCTGTTATGAAATGTAACGGGTGTTTTGATTGAATAAAAATATGTACGAAAAACAAAAATAAAATATGTACAAAAAGACTTAAAAGATACGTATGAAAAACAAACAAAATAAGTATGAAAAACAAAAAAATAAAACAAATAAAATTTGCAAATGTCACTTTTATGCCACCGTAAATACATGATAATAATAACTGTATGACTAACTTTTCAGTGAAAATATTTCTCTAATCATCTCCTAAAATATACCAATTGCCTATATTCCAGTGAGCAATATCACATACCTATATAATTGCATTTGGGCGTCTTCTCTTCGTAAAACTCGAAACAATATAAAGATACAAGTGCAATTATTATGTACAATAAAAACGTAAATCTGTGTCATTTAAAGGCCCAACATTATTTTTGTGACGGTCGTATTAAAGTTTCCAAAAAGTTACTTCTTAGCCAATTAACTTAACCATCTTTGCTCCTGTTGCCATAAGTGCAATTTGTTAATATAGTGATATAGTATTTTTTGAATGGAAGACAAAATACAACTTTGTTTAAAGTTTGTTACTTTCATGACAAATAGATTTACATTCAGCGAACATTTCGTCACCTGATTACAGGTAACACCTGAAGTGCTCTAAAACCAATTTTGAACACGTTATAGAACACATATAAAACGCATGTTCACCTTTCTAAAACAATTTATTCATTTCTGAGGAATAATGTACCTTTAAATAAAACAAATTTTATCAAAAACTGTTTAAGTTGTTATTTACACATAAAGGTAATACCCTCACCGCTGTGGGTTCGAATCCCGACAGGGACTTTGGAGGAAGCTATACATCATTTTCATGAACACCGATACAAATATTTTACATATTGATACTTAAATAATACTTTCTTTCATATGTGTTAAAGAATTTGATTATTTACATTAATTTGTTGTTTATTATTATATTGATTTTTTTCATATTTTGTCAATTACATTATTATGGATTATTATATGATATAAATATAGCTGCAATCTCATCGGTTCAAACAGTAGTCAACAGAACTTTTTATAGAATCAGATTCACTTGTGTATAATCATATACACTGGCTAAATTGGATTTTCCCAGTCTAAAAATAGATTGAGACGCATATTCAATGACCATATATCGAAGACTGTTAATAACGCCTGCTTATTAAGAAAATATTGTTGTATTTTGTTTCTCGATTAAAATATCATTACTTTACAATTATAGTTTCACCGTAGTGATGCGTATAAACTTGAATTACTTTTGTATGCGCAGCGTTCGCGTAGTTGTTGCACGACTTTCACGTGCGCCTTTTTTCCCGCGCTTCAACGAAACAGACAAAAATAGTACTTGTATAAAGTTGTGCTTTTTGTGATCTTTTTTTAAATTTGTATAGCCTATTCATGTAAGAAACAATTATTGACAAGCGTGTCATTTAATATGATGGCGATATTAACCAGCAGAAAGCCATATTGACCTCCGCTATCGCCTCGGTCAATATGTCATCTGCCGGTGAATATCACATCATATTCAATGGCACACTAGTCAATAATTGTATAATATTGACCCCCAAAATGGCTGCCATTTTACAATAGTGGTTAAAAATGTGAAAATCGCGAAATATCTATAAGAACATATAAAGAGCCAACAAATAAAGCATGCTCTATTGACTAAAATGTTAAGCTGTCATGTACGTTAGTAGATTATTGCTTTTAGCATCAATATACCAATATACATTGAGTAAAAAAACTAAAAACAAAACCGTCGTGCAAATATAAAAAAGAAAATCAATTTTCTGTGTCACAAGTGACATATGAGAATTTTGGTCCGCCATGGGATGTGCACTTCAGGAGTCCATGCAGAGCTACTTCTTTATTGAACAAAAGACTGAAACAATTGGTTGCATTAACTATTTATTTAAAAAATTGACAAGACATTCGGATCTGAATTAATGGCACTTTTTACAATCGAAACTTGGTCAATAAAAAGGTTTTAAACGATTAGAATCTTTCTGTCCCATCTATTTTAACATTTATCATAAAATTAAAAAGGAATCTTGTAGAAATATTCTGTGCATTCAAGGTCTATTAAAATGAATTGATCTTTACGACTATTGATGAGAACACCACTTGTCAATCCAATGTTAACAAATCAAGATTACATTGTCTTGTTTTGACAACCGCTCACTTTGGTCGGAGGAAATTTAATGACTATAGATATATAGACCCGTCGTTCGCGGAACATTTAATGACCAGATATATAGACCTGTCGTCCCCGGGACATTTACTGACAAGATATATAGACCTGTCGTCCGCGGAACAATTACTTACCAGATATATAGACCCGTCGTCCGCTGAACAATTACTGACCATGCAGATATATAGACCTGTCGTCCGCGGAACAATTACTGACCAGATATATAGACCTGTCGTTCGGGAAACATTTAATGACCGGATATGCAGACCTGTCGTCCGCAGACTATTTAATAACCAGATATTTATACGTATTGTCCGCAGAACATTTAATGACCGGATATATAGTCCTGTCGTCCGTGGAACATTTAATGACCAGATATATAGACCTGGCGTCCGCGGAACATTTAAGGTCCAGATATATAGAACTGTCGTCCGCGGAACATTTAATGTCCAGATATATAGTCCTGTCCTCCGCGGAACATTTAATGACCAGATATATAGACCTATCGTCCCCGTAATATTAATGACCAGATATATAGACCTATCGTCCGCGGACCTTGGTCGGAACATTATTTGATAAGTAAGTGGGCAACAGGACGAAATAACTATATTATAGAACTCGCAATTACTGGAAAATTTTAACGCATTTATCTGTACTGTAGCAGTAATTGCCTTAATTCTCCGCTGTTTGTTCGCATCGTTACACGGGAAATTAATTGAGCAGGGTGTCTCATAAATGATAAGGGGATTTTTTCACTTTATAGACCTATAAAAATTGTAAAATCTGTTTCAGTCCTGCGAGTGATCAGCAGGGCATCCTTAAGTACAGTTTTGTCCACTTCAAGAGAAAAGAAATATGTTTCTAACATTAATTTTATTGTGTTTTATAACAGAGTGTAGGCAATATAGCTCATAGATAGGCCCAACTTCATTTAGTAATTCTAAGGATCATTGTAATAAATTGCTTTAAAACAGCACTATTTCAGTTTCTGATATAATTCATGTTATGTATTGAACATATCGAAAACGATTTGTCGCGACGGGCTTTAATTAGTATTGTATAAAGTCTAACACTCTAGTTGGTCATTAGCCAGATTAACTTTAATAACATAAATACTACTAATAGTGGTACATTTAAACTATTTTAAGCATATAACATTTGCAGTCGTGTGTTGTGTAATAATTATTATATTACATAGGTTATATATAATATCAGACCAGATTGGTTCTTTATGTATTAAGTGAACTTTTCAATTTCGTGAACAAATTCTAACTACAGATATGTCAACATATGCGGCTTGCATATACATCTAAATAGTTTCGTGATATCTACTCTGGTGTCATTAAATAGAACATGTACCATATACATGTATTAACTGCCATATTTGGTTTCCGACAAATATATATTTATAAACATGTAGGTTAAAGAGAGATAAGATAAAATGCTAAAATGTACATATAAGTTTTTGCAGGTCTACCAGTTTGTAACATTTGTTTATAGTGCTAATTACCTTACATACATGCATATTTAATTAATCATATATAAAAAGTATTGGCGTGTATATTTCGTGTACTTATTAAACATAACAAGGAATAAATATCAAAACGTGTATGTAGTTATAGATCAAAGTTGCAAAATACAATTATTACAGTACAAAATGTAGTATGAAAGTTAAACTTTTATCAAAGTAGTTCAGTTCATATTCTGCATTGGATTAGCGATCACTGTATAGTATGTATATATATTGTTCAAACATTCTTAAGTGTTAAAGATTTATATAAATCAAGTATATATTTATTAGGCCGGATTCTACAAATTGTAAACAATGACGTTCTTGTATTTCGCTTATGGCAGCAATTTATTAAAACAGAGGATACAGTTAGATAACCCCAGCGCCACATTCGTTGCTGTTGGGGAGCTTAAAGTAAGTGCTAAATTTTGTTTGTTTGCTAGATATAACGATTTTTTATATTTATTTTTTATCTAGTTTTTCTTTTTTTTCATTTTTTATTCATTTTCTTTTTTGTAGAAAATTTCAATTAGTTTGCACTGCGTTAGAAATGTTCTGTTACACGAGTCTTTGGATCGGCTGGCTATGGCAGTTGTGGTGTCCCGCTCCCCTCTCGCTATTCATAGGTCGTGGTCGGGTTCGAGCCTTTCTTTCTCTAGTCATAGGCAGTGGTTCGAGCACCTCCCGATTACAAAACCTGGTTTCATATGGTCCTTGTTAGTTTACTCGACAGTGATTATTATAAATGGGAAAAGTGTGTGTGTGTTTTGCATCATATAAGTGTAGAAGATATATACACGATAGAACAGAGAAAAATATTCATTGTAAGCAATAATTTACATTAGGGTCATGTTGAAAATAACAAAATGATTTTGTCTCTCTCTCAACACAAGGAACACACTCTAGCATTCAGCTCTTTAGGCATGAAACCAGAGATTATGCGATGGAGGGGTGGAGCAGCCAGTATTCGGGAAGATCCGTCGTCTTCTGTCTGGGGCTGCGTATGGAGGCTGGGAAATGAGCATCTTCAAACACTGGACAGGTACAGTTATATGTAAACTAAGGCAAAAAAATATGTTACAATATTTCTGATATTTTTTTGGATTATGTTTTGATTTTAAACCTTTTCAGCTCCAAATATCAAACAAACTTTTCATGTTTTGTTCACAAGTGACTCGGGTATGGCATATTCTAGATTTGATTGTAGATGTTATTGATACAATTACATGTATTTTAAAGCAGCATGCCTCCAGATGAGCCAAAGTATGTCAATTAAATCAAACTTGAGAAAAATGTACTAATATTTTAGAAAAAGTAAAAACATTGAAGATTCAAGTAATAATTTACATGTTTTGTGCAGTTAATGACGAATTGTATAGCTTCTTATAACAATATACAAAAATGTATTTCTACTGCGTTACTAACGCAGTAAGGGCTATTTTTGCATATTGTTACCTCTTTCTTGGTAATTTACGTGGGTTGCAAGTGCCATTGATAATGTGTAAATTGTTTCCTTTTGGTTACTTGACAATATCATGCTTTTAAATACATTTTCAAAATTTTCAAGGAAATATCATGAATCTTGAGGCATGCTGCTTTAAACTATTAATTAAGTAAGTACTTAATTCATTGGACCATACACATTAACATTACATTGACTAGTATGCCTTCAATGTTGAATTTGAAATGTTCAATACGTAGAATATACAGACCTGTCAGTATTTTAAGTCTTTGTCAAATTGTGGTGGATGTTTGCCTGGCTTTTTCGTGTTCTTTTCCTTAAATTAGGTTGTCACTATTGATTTTTCAGACAAGAACTGGTTTATGATGCTAAAGACGTGACAATAAATACACTTGCCGGGAAACAGTATACATGTAGAACTTACCAACTTCCGGCAAGCGAGTTTTTGGACGAAGGGCCTCAAAACCGTCCGTCACCCATGTACATGGATGTGATAATAAAAGGAGCGACTCAAAATAAATTACCGGACAGTTATATTAATTTCTTAAAGGCTGTTGAGACAAATGAACTCCTTGATGAAAATCTTGAGATATACAAAGACATCTTAAACATGTTAGACAGTAGTGAAACGTGATAGTTATATTAATGAACACAATCAAAGCATGGTTTTACATAATTCTGCTAATCTACATACATGTATAGTATAATGATAATGCACGATCAAAGCACTGAAAGTACTGTAAACCAGCGAAGCCATGGAACCAGCTAAATTCAATCGGCCCTATTTAGCACGTGAATCAAAGACGGTGTGTTCCGAAATCAATGAAGGACGAAAAAACCCTTGATTCGCTGGTAATATGTCGTCAAATGGAATCACATTTACTTGCAATAACCGTGATAAAATATTATAATTATTTTATCCTGCAACTTATATTACACTATGCAGAAATATCAATTAAATTAAAAGCATATATAGTCTAAAATACAGAGTTTTTTTTTATAATTTTGTATATTCGTCGCCTGCTTAAAACAGTAGATAGTTTTATTAAAATTCGTAGATTTTGAAAGGACTTTACTAAAACTAGTGGCACCCTGGCTTTGCTTGTACTGTATAACGAATTATAAAATTTAAAAAAAAAAACTTGTTATAGTCGATACATTTGAGATAGCTTTTATAAATTAAATGTTTTATCGTTTAAGATTGAATTTGTAACATAGCTGGAATAGTCTTGTCCAGCATTTTTGACCATATAATTGTATACGATAATTAGCTGTAGAATATTATCAGTCCCACAAAACAATAAGTCAATTTAGTCCCTTTGAAAAAGTCAATAAATATAAATTAATAACAGCCGTCGTATCATTGGCATTCATCGAATTCAGAAACGACTCATTTTTCGGTCGGAGTATGTCTGTTTTAACCATGACTTCCGCTAAATCAACGAAAATGAAAGAAATAAACAAACAAACTACCATATAGTTTCCAATGTTTTCTATGTAGGCGATTCCTATTAGGCAATGGGATGACTATAAGTGTATGAACAAAGAAAAAGAGAGATATTGCTGACAATGGGTTAAAATGAAAGTATTACGAAATATTTTATGTTTCAATAGGAAAGTTGTTGGTTGTATTTTAGTGGATTTGGATTTGTTAGTAAAGATAGCATGTGTTTTATCCATTCCCGATTCTTTTATAATATTTTTATTTTTTATTTTTCCAAGCAAACCGAAATGAATATGTATCCTTTTCTGGGAATTAAGATGCCAATCTCCCAGGTCAGAACTAAGGATTGTCAATATTTTTGCAATAAAAGAACACTAAACAAATACCTATCGACGTTTAAACCAGGTTTTCAACGACTGATAATCTTTTCTGTATATAATGTTTTAGTTTAATCCGGAAACCTTATTACAATGCCCTGGCAGAAGATCGATGCTCCAAGAACAGAACATAAAAGTTAACAGCTAGACTATTTTCTAAATGAGAACCGAACCCAATAAAATCCGGAACTTAATTGAAATACGGTTCCTTGTCCGCGGCTTTTGACCATGTTGACTGCAGTTAACATTAACGTGTTGCGCAACGGGACTTTCAAGTTTTGAAATTTGATATGTTTATAACGACAACAAGGACACGGTACAAGTTTTTATTCATGCGGCATTCAATATTACATAATGTAATACTTTTAACAAATCAAAGTGTTTCAGAGTCATTAATATGTTGTTATCAATGCGCAATATGATTGTAGTATTTCAAATTAATCATAACACATTAACTATGGTAAATCGGCTTACTTTTAATTAGTCTTTTCAATTGACTGTACATGCAAATGATTACACTAAATTAGCTAGTATTCATTAAATTAAATTGGTCTGAAGGCTGTTGCAATGTGTTTTAAATAATAAAACATGAGACAAGGTGGTACATGTACATAAGCCCCCAAAATGCTATCATTTTCCTTCCTCGAAATACTTTAATGTATTAGTGCCCTGTCACGACAGATATAGTGATTTATGTATTTTGTATGGGAGTCAAAATGCAAATTTGTTTACTATCTTCTACCTTTGTAACAGATTATTTCATATTCAGTGCTTTTTACTTCCTGGTATAAGAATTTAATGTCCGTTAAATCCATTTTTGAGAAATAGAATTACTAAACACATGTTTTCTCCTTCGTAGAGAAGGAGAATGTTATTTATTTTGGAGGCACGATGTCCTTTTAATAAATTCAAAATACACATTCAGCATATTATAAAAGATATTATAAACATATTATTTACAATCTATGTTAAAAATGTGGAAATAAGGGGTATCCCTCAGAAGCAATGAAACAACAATATTAAATGAAAAATAGCATATTCGGTTTGGTTGAGTCTGTTCATATGAGATAACGTAAATTTATGTGCACCAATTCTTCCGCCCCACTAGCACCGGCTTAAGCGGTATGCAATCTTCAACGGTATCAATGATCCCGACGAACCAGAAAAATATGAACAACACTGAAGGGATGTAAAGAGCAACTCGGCACTTGATACCTGCTGTTGTGAAGAATAAATCTGGATACGGGATGATCCCTCAGGAATAATGAAGACTTAAGTCGTAATTAACGTTATTGTTCATTCTAGCCTTAGAGTATATTAACGACAATTAACAGCTCGGGTTATATTTACAAACAGCCGTTTATAGAGGGCCATATAACCTGTCAACAATCTTTATAACTAATAAAATAAACGTCACGATTATCCAATGAAAAGCGACGTTACAAACGTGCAGTATTATAAAGTTTTATATACACAGCTGTCGTCAATTTATGAATAAATCTCTATTTTCTTAAAAAAAATGAAGGAAGTTTGCTGTATAATAGATTCGTTATAAATATTCCTCACATGTTATATGACATGTCTATAAAGGGTTGTTTGCAATATCGGCTCGGGTTATATTTCTGAATAACCGTTTATATAGGGTCATATAACCTGTCACCAATTTTTATAACTTACATTATAATACTGCACGTTTGTAACGTCGCTTTTCATTGGATAATCGTGACGTTTATATAGTTTTATATATACGGCTGTTGTCGATTCATGAAGAAATCTTACTTTTTTCTCTAAAAAATGATGTTTGCTGTATTATAAATTCGTTATAAAGAGTGTTGACAGGTTATATGGCCGTATATAAACGGCTGTTTGCAATATAACCCTCACCTAGCGGCTCGGGTTATATTTACAAACAGCCGCGTTTATATAGGGCCATATAACCTGTCAACGATCTTTATAACTAATAATATAACGTCACGACTGTCCAATGAAAAGCGACGTTACAAACGTGCAGTATTATATGTAAGCATATAAGTTACAGATATTAAAGAAATAAAGTATTTGATATTAATAATTTAACAGTTTGTAAACTACAATCGCGTTTTGTCCAGGTAGTTTATAATTAACTTCCTGGATATTTGCACGTCCCTAAATAACTTCCTTGTTGTGTTCTACGAAACATACAACTAAGCTTCTAACATTGTTGAGAGATAATTCAATTACAAAAAGCAAACAAAAAATAAAAAATGTCGGAGGAACAATTCACGGTGGTGAGGTTACTTGGGGAAGGGGGTTTCGGCAAAGTGTTTTTAATACAAGACAAATCTGACCCGTCAACAAAAGTAAGTTGTTTTTTAGGTCTCGATTATCTGTTTTACTTTTGTTTTCAAATATTTTAAACCGAAAGTTCAAGCCCTTTCCGATAAGAATTATTATTGATAATAGCCGAGGTGTTCCAATTGCCAAAACATGAACGCTTTACGTCAAAAATAATTTAATACATCTGACTTAAAAGAGCATCTTAATTAAAGTTATAATGAACATACATGTATACAATACATTTACATGTATATATGTTCAACCAAAACTTATGGATTTTTTTTATCGTTTCAAATCATCCTACTTATTTTCAAGTGTTCACCGTCACTTTAATTGGTGATAAATGCATATATCTTTGCAATATAAAACTCACAGTAATAATAAAAGATATATACCATATTAACCTTTGAATTTGAACAAAAAAGCAAGCCTTAAAACTGATGGATATTGGATCAATGGATGCAGACACGCTAGCCCTGACGTTACAAGAGATCAAGCTTCTCTCCGAACTCGAGCACGAGCACGTGCTGTCCTTCGTCGCGAGCTTCGTGCAAGATGACAAGATTTGTATTGTGACAGAATTTTGTTCAAATGGAGATCTATCCGGTTAGTATGTCAGTAGTATTATCCGTCTGCAGAATATTGAAACTGAAGTGGAACTGTTTAAAGTGTCACGTACTTTCAAGAATTAAAGTCGTGAATGCCTAGTTGTAAATCACATATTTGTTGGTCGGGGCAGGTGGGGGGGGGGTGTCGCTGTTGCTCTAAGAACTCTTTTGCTAATTGACAAATTTCGTCCGAATCCTGTTGTTTCTTTGTCTATTTACATGTGTAAACAAGTTATAAGATATTATTAAACTAAATGCATAGCGCTAGCGAATCGTTTCATTTTGCAATTAAGATTAAATGGTTATTGCTTTTTTTACATAACGACACATTATCCTGGAGGCGTATTTTAAACTGTTACAATTTATTAAATAAACTGACTAAATTAATAATTAAACCTCAAACAGCATGTTAAACAGGAAGCTTAAATATAGAAAGAAATGAGTGACGTAAACTCAATCGCTTTAATAGCACTTAAATGTCGATAGATCTCACCGTATATATCTTTGACAGATTATATAAACAATCAGCATGGGAATCCATTAGAGGAACTGCGGCTTATAGAATGGTTTCGACAGATTGCCAGTGCAATAGAGGTATAAAATGTATAGAATGATATTTATCTATTTTATTTAACTATTATCTATATTCCTTTTACAAATATCCTTAAATCAACTTTTACCTTAACTAAAATCATTCTTTTTACGAATATCCCTAAAAAGGCCCGTGTAATAAATACAATGTTGTAACTATAAGTAACTATAAATAGATACAGTTATATTGATTTATCAATGTAAAATATAAGTTTTCTGATAAAATGACTAATTTCAATGTATGTAATGTATACATCTTGAACACAATTTATCACAGTCATTTTGACTTTATATTCTATGACCTGATAAGTAGAAAATAATCTCTCGGGTTTTGTTAATATTTTCTAAAACCTTTTTACAGAAAGTATACAATAAACATGAGTGCGCTATTCCGGAGAGCTATTTGCTTTCTCAAATCTGTAGTCCTGCGAGCCTTGCAATCGACTTGAGCTATATATCGGGATATCAGACTCTTGAAAATTTTCCTATTTTAATATATTTATTTAAGTCAAACATTGTTGATAATTCCATACAAGACAACATCGTCCGTTCGGTGTCCGTTCTAGGTTTCAGAGACTGGTTTAAGGTTTCATTGACTGGTTTTAACAATCTCCTACGCAGTTATTTTCCCTTATCAGTACAGAGACAATTCTGCCAAGGGAAGTAATCACTGTGTGGAGTTTGGACTGGTTCTAGGCTTTCTTGACTGGTTCTAGGCTTCATTGACTGGTTCTTGGTTTCATTGACTGGTTTAAGTTTTCATTGACTGGTTTTAGGTTTCACTGCCTGGTTCTTGGTTTCATTGACTGGTTTTAGGTTTCATTGACTGGTTCTAGGTTTCATTGACTGGTTCTAGGTTTCAGTGACTACTGGTTTTGAGTGAGACTTAAAAAAAAAAGGATTTGAGCACCACACTTAATACCGTCTTCCGGTATAAACCGGACAAGGCGCTTGAATGATAAAATGCTAAAATCTTGCCTTTTTACCCAACGGAATGAACTTTAAAAGGTGTAATTCATCTTTTCACACCGATTAATGTATGCTAATGAATGAAAAATGTAAAAATCGGCAATAAAAAAAAATAGGCTTTCTTGACTGGTTCTAGGCTTCATTGACTGGTTCTTGGTTTCATTGACTGGTTTAAGTTTCCATTGACTGGTTTTAGGTTTCACTGCCTGGTTCTTGGTTTCATTGACTGGTTTTAGGTTTCATTGACTGGTTCTAGGTTCCATTGACTGGTTCCAGGTTTCATTGACTGGTTTTAGGTTTCATTGACTGGTTTTAGGTTTTATTGACTGGTTTTAGGTTTCATTGACTGGTTTAAGGTTTCGTTGACCGGTTCTAGGTGTCATTGACTGGTTTAAGGTGTCATTGACTGGTTCTAGGTGTCATTGACTGGTTTAAGGTTTCATTGACCGGTTCTAGGTGTCATTGACTGGTTTTAGGTTTCATTGACTGGTTCTACGTTTAATTGACTGGTTCTAGGTTTCATCGACTGCTGTGCAATGACCTATTATTCAGCTCAAAGATCTTCTCTTCAAACATATTCTTTGCAAATTGCACACAAGAAAATTACAATCCAGTTAAACATGTAAGGGCATGACTGAGGGTGTCCGAGGTCCGTTTTGTGCTTTTACGGGCGACCAGACACTAAATAATCATGAGAAAAAAAATGATGATTATTCTTTTGGCAGTTGCAATTGTGTTATATCCGTTCGTTTGACAATCGGGATCTTTATGACTTCGTTTTAAGAAGCATTGGTTTAACTTTTTTGTGTCTTCATGTGTTCTTTAATTATATGTAACTTTTAACATTATACCGCCTAAAGTTAATTTTGTTGCCCCGTAATACATTTAAAAACTATAGATTAAACAACGCCTTATAACTAGTTATCAATCTTTTCTATCTATAAATACCTTATATCTAACCATCTATCATTTGTAACCATTCAAAACATTTAGCCGTTTATATAAATAATATTTTTATCTCTTATCCAACTGTAACTATGAGCAATCTATCTATAAGTATCTATTGAACTTGCTTGAATAAAATTGTCCCACGTTCTTATTTTTTTTATTTTTGTTGTTGTTTTTGTTGTTCATCGTCAGATATCAACGTCCAAACCATAAACATTTTATGTTACATGATGATTTTAGTTACGAAATTTATCTTTTATCGAAACTATGAGTGGCGTGATCCTCCATTTTAGTATAATTACTAAATTCAATGTGTAACAGGTATAAATGAGCCGCGTCATGACAAAACCAACATAGTGGGTTTGCGACCAGCATGGATCCAGACCAGCCTGTGCATCCGCGCAGTCTGATCAGGATCCATGCTGTTCGCTTACCGACTCTATTACAAGTAGAGAAACTGACGGATGCGCAGGCTGGTCTGGATCCATGCTGGTCGCAAACCCATTATGTTGGTTTTGTCGTGACGACACTCAAATATAGAGCCTCGTCAACTTTATACATCCGCTCAGTCTGACTGTAGTTTCTTTCTTAAAATAGCAATATTCAGAACCAGGTTCAAATTAAGCAAAGCAGATCGCATCCGGTTTTATTAGACACAATTTGTAGTATAAAGCAGCATACTTACAGATTCATGCTAATTGTCATAGAAAATTTAAAAATGTAAAAGTAAAATAGTGTGAAGTGAACAAAGAAAGTAAATCACACAATGCAAACGGCACTTACAATCAACGTAATTAACCAAAGAGTTGAAAACACAATGTTTGCAAAATTAGCCCTTACTGCGTTAGTCACGCAAAAAAAAACGATGATAAATACTGCATATAACGTGTACACAATTGCTTGAATCTTGAATCTTTTTTTACTTTTTTTTTTCTTCAAATCTTTGTACATTTTCTCGGGCTTATTTTCTTGAAATATTTTGGCTCATCTGGCGGCAAGCAGCTTTATGGTTTTAATTAAAATATTTAGATTTTCTGAAATTAACACGATTTAAATTCTTTTCAGTATCTTCATGAAAGAAATATTATACATCGGGACCTAAAGTCTCAAAACATATTTTTGGATGCAAATATGAATTGCAAACTGGGAGATTTTGGAATAGCTAGGTAACCATTTGTATAGATGTAGAATGTATAATCAATTAGCGGACTTTGTGTAATTATCAAACTCCGTGCTTAAATGCCTATTTAAATGAAGATCGAATTTCAAGAATATAATTTATGTATCAAATAAGAAAAACCTGCAGTTGCTTTCCATGAACGTTCGTCCGACAATGTGACTTCAGTAACCTCCCCTGACAATCCATTAAAGAATCTGTATGTTGTATTTAATAGAGGATATTGAATGAGTGTAAGTTCCATACTGAATTTATTGCACGAGTTGAATAAAATTATATTATGCGAGCCTCTGGCGAGCATAATATTATTTTATTTAACGAGTGCAATAAATTCAGTATGGAACTTACACGAATTTAATATTCTATTTATCACATACCCAAAATAAAGACCGTTTAAAGTGAAATAAGAGCCATTTTTCAGTATAACGCTAACATTTAGCGCGTCTTTACACTATGTTTGTATAACGCTAATGACGTCACGTCAAAATATATGCACGGCCGTGCAATACCATATTTACGGAGTCGCAAAATCGGCACGGGTGTGTGATAAAGGTTGTTACCACACTTCAGTGAAATTGTATATAATATTATGTATATAAATCTACATTATATAAAAACATTAAAAAAATGAGTTACAAGACCTTTATCTGTTTTGATAACGCCAAGTCCTAGGCTACATACATAGACACACATTTTCAATTTGTTTGAAAAGAAAAAAATATAGGGGAATGGCTCTTACAATGGCTTCTACACGTTTCCCTTAAAGGGAAACCAGATACTAGTATATATTTAATAAAGAATGTTATACTTTTTGCTACATGTATATTATCCTCGTTTAAAGTATCATCGCCGTATTTTTAATAATTAAGCGCCACCAGTTATACACGGTGAATTATGCATAAATGCATTCAATCTGCATACCGTTAATATGAGTACTTGTGTCAACCTTATCTTCAAACTGAAAAGATGGTCACTATTATAACTACGATATGTTTTTCCTTTCCTTACAGAGTACTAGATCCTGTGATAAACATGGCCCAGACACAGATTGGAACACCGCATTATATGAGCCCAGAAATATTCATGGGAATAGGTTATAATGCCAAGGTGAGTCCCTTTAATAAATGGTCTGAGCTAATTCATAACATCTGTTAAATAACCAAATACAATGCACACATTACTTGTCTGGAAAATTGTATTTTGTGGTCATTATCAGAAATACAGTAAAACCTTTGCAAAGCAGTACCCTTCGGGAGACAAATACTTTTGTTGTTGCAGAGAGCTGTTCCTCTAGAGAGGTTTAATCTATTGTCAAGCCATATTTGGGAAAAATAGCACGTTTTTTGTAAAGAAGTGGTTGCCCTACAGAGGGTCGCTATGAAGAGGTTGTTCTGTATTACGAAACATGCTCTCTTAGACACGTGACACATTTCTTTATCGAATTTATATACACGTTATTTACTTCATCGTCTATAACAATTTGAAATATAATTCATGGGTTAAGTCGTTGTATATTTTACAATTTTAACTTGTTGTATTTGTTAATATCATGGTTAAATAATACAAGTAAAAAAGTTTAAAAGACCAGCTTTGCAAGAATCATATGGTGTTTATTGAACAAGCACTGTGTAAGATTCACTCAATATGTATGATGCTGGTTAAATTGATGTTTTAGATTATAGGTCTAAAATACAGTACCAGTACTTTTTTCTCTTATTTCAGACAGATATTTGGTCTCTTTCTATTTTGATATACGAACTGGCAACATTGGAGAAGCCATTTGACGCTCTATTTATGCCAATGCTTATATTTAACATTACAAGAGGCGAGGTATGTATATATATATACGCCCTTTACTTTTTCTTTAAAACCATTCCTCTGTCAATGTAGCTCGGTCTGCATCATGAAAAGAAAAAAATGTATTTAAATTATCAACAAATTATAATCAATAAAATACTTGTAGATCGTCAGTGTCTTAAATTTCTGAAAAAAAAATATAAAAAAGATCTTTATTCTGATGAGTTTCAAAACGAAAGAAGAATTTTATGATTTATTAAAAACTGAGGGCTTTGACCATCAAAATTTAACAGTTTACTAAACATAGACAAAAGTTGGTTCATTGCTTAACATAATTATAACATAAGTTGAATTTAATATGGCACGGACAAAATGTCGTCAACGGGAGTAAGCGCAACGTTTTACCATTATCTTTTTTGACGAAACAAGAATTAATCAAGTTTTTTATTAATGTGAATGAATACTAGAAACCAACCATGCCAACCCAGTACCGACCCGAGTTCACGGAGCTCTTGTCTAGGATGATGGAAAAAGACCCAAATGACAGGCCATCTGCACGCGAGATTATGCAAGACAAACTCTTCAAGGAAAGGCAAAAGCCAAAACCAATGGTAAGAAATGATAAGGGATATACTTTGAGCCGATCTCTCCACCCAGTATTTTCGGGTCTCTAAATAAAGACCGGGAGGGACCGGAACGGCAAATAGTGCATCCCAATATCAACGCAAAGACACTTCGTGTGTGGCAATTCAATCGCCTCAAAAAGTGTATATGCACCAATCATTATACATGTTTAATATACAGACATCTCTGTATTCCTGCTCCTTACTTCTTAGCTTATTGCTCTTTTCATACGACTTTGTATTATTTCTGAATGTTCGTATGGAAAAGCATAAAATGCGTATGTATTCGGACTTAAAAAATGTCATTGGAGCTAAAGTGTCCCGTATTTCTAGTTCTTATTGGGGCATAAGCTAGTGAAGTTACGGGTTTATGTTATAAGGTTGGCGCCTAATTTAAACTTATAATGTACCCTTGATATTTGATAGAGACGATATACACACTGTTCCATTTGTCCTTCATCGCTTATTTCCAAGATTTGTTTTGCTTTGAGAAGTAGTCTCATACCGGCTTATTGGTATGTTACTGTACCTAAATACTCATTCTAACTACCGTATTGTCCAAGCATACAACAGAGTCCGTCCACTAAGCTCAATAGGAAAAGCATCGTTTTTGTAATCCACGGCTGTTTCGATCCTCGGACGAGGCGAAACTCCTCCGTAACCATTGATCTCGAAAATTGAGTTAAATGGTCATTTGTTTCTGACCACTGATTTAGAAATCATGTGATTTTAACAGCCACTTCAAGAGAAATCGGTAACCACTGGTTAGTTATCCAGTCATCCAGGTAAACCGGTAAGGACTGATATGTCCGCCGAGATATGACCAAATCTATGTTAAAATCGTCGTAAAAACAGATAAATAAATTTAAAAGAAACTTTACATTAACTAAAACAGTGATAAGAAACATTTTTCCAAGATGCAAGAAACGACCACTATATAATATACCTATAAAATATGTTGCATATTATAGCCAAATATCAGATCTCCGGACGACTACGGCAGCGAAGATTATTATGATATGGGTGCCTTTAATATAAGGAGCGCTCTTCAAACTATCAATGACACCGTGCCGGGTAGGAAGTTCGGAGATAAGAAGCCCGTGCCCAAACCTAGACTACGTGCTGATAAGGAGGGTGGGGCGGCGGTATCAGGTGACAAGATTGGTGACGATACAATAACGGACCCTGTTATGGAACTGGTGACCAGGACTCTCAAAGATATGGTAATTGTTTTGACATATCCAATTGCACACATTATTGGTACAATTTACTGGCATCTTTGGCTAAAATTACTATAATATTTGGATACTCAAGTATTTTTTTGAGTGGATAATGACTTTGGTTATTTTGTAATACAAAGAAATAAATTTTTAATATACACGTTCCTGTTAATAGATAAGGTATGGTAAGGTTAGGTATGGTATTGTAAGGTAAAAATGTAGTTCAAGTTATCCTTGCGTACGTTACCCGTGCTACATTGTATACATACACCATCTTGATAAAATTTGTCATACATTTGCCTTGAAAAAAGAAATACAAGTACATGTATATATTTTGGTAACTTTATTCATGTTAGTAACAATTTGACAAAACAATTATGTTTTGCCTTGAAAAATAATCAAAAGAAATACTAGTACATCTATATATTTTGGTAACTTTATTAATGTTTATAACAATTTGATAGAACAATTATGTTTTGCCTTTAAAATATTCAAAGAAATACTAGTACATGCATAAATTTGGTAATTTGATTTATGTTAATAACAATTTGATAAAACAATTATGTTTTGCCTTGAAAAATAATCAAAAGAAATACTAGTACATGTATAAATTTTGGTAACTTTATTTATTTTTATAATAAATTCATAACACAATTATGTTAATTAGTCCTTTCTAATTCACAGGGTCACAACACTATTCGACCAGGTATGTAACATTAATCTATGACATGGTAATCAAATTCAAAATAACAAATCATTTTTAAAGATATAACACAATAAAAAGAAAATATATTTGCTTACTTTAGTAAGTTTTAAACATTAATACACATGTATATTACAGAGTTTTTAGAAATTGTAGTAATTATATTTTTAACATGTTTAAGAGGAGTGTTAAATAAATAATGGAAATACATTACTATCTTCTATGTTAATTGTCTCCTATAGTGAAGTGTTAAAGCAGCATGCCTCAAGATTCATACTTATTTTCATGATAATTATGAAAATGTATTTAAATGTAAAATATTGTGAAGTTAACAAAGAAAGTAATTTTCACAAGGCAAACAGCACATACAATTCACATAAATTACCAAAGAGAAGTAAAAAATATGCAAAAATTGCCCTTACTGCCTGACTAACGCAGTAGAAACAAGAGCATCCCTAGGCGGAGCATAATATGCCCGAAAGTGATTTTTTTTAGTAAAGATGAAGCATTTGTAAGACATGGGAATTAAATAAAGTATTACCTCCTTCAAAAAACAATCCCCCTTTGAAGTTTCAATATTGTGGTCCAAATGGAAGTTAAGTTATGCCCCGGAAACTGTTTTCAGTTCTAAGGTAATAGTGACCTTGACCTTTACTTTGAGACCCCAAAATCAATAGGGGTCTTCTACCAAATATGTCCAATCATACTATGACTGGGCCAAATGAAACTTAAGTTATGTTCTGACAACTGTTTTAAGTTTTAAGGTAATGGTGACCTTGACCTTTGACCTTGTGACTCCAAAATCAATAGTTGTCTTTTACCTAATATAGACAATCATCCTATGAAGTTTGAATATTGTGGGCCAAATGGAACTTAAGTTATGCTCATAAAAACTGTTTTCAATTTCTAAGTAATAGTGACCTTGACCTTTGATCTTGTGACCCCAAAATCAATAGGGGTCTTCAACCCAATATGGACAATATTCCTATGAAGTTTGAACATTGTCGGCCAAGTAGAACTTAAGTTATGCTCCAGAAACTGTTTTTAGTTTTAAGGTAATAGTGGCCTTGACCTTTGACCTTGTGACCCCAAAATCAATAGGGGTCTTCTACCCCATGTGGAAAATCATCCTATGAAGTTTGAACACTGTGGGCCAAATGGAACTTAAGTTATGCTCCGGAAACTGTTTTCAGTTTTAAGGTCATAGTGACCTTAACCTTTGACTTTGTGACCCCAAAATCAATAGGGGTCTTCTAGCCAATATGGACAATAATCCTATCAAATTTTAACACTCTGGGCCAAATGGAACTTAAGTTAGGCACCGGAAACTGTTTTTAGTTTTAAGGTCATAGTGACCTTGACCTTTGACCTTGTGACCCCAAAATCAATAGGGGTCTTCTAGCCAATATGAACGATCATCCTATCAAATTTGAACACTCTGGGCCAAATGGAACTTAAGTTAGGCTCCGGAAACTGTTTTCAGTTTTAAGGTCATAGTGACCTTGACCTTTGACCTTGTGACCCCAAAATCAATAGGGGTCTTCTAGCCAATATGGACAATCATCCTTATATGAAGTTTGAACACTCTGGGCCAAATGGAACTTAAGTTATGCTCCAAAAAAACTGTTTTCAGTTTTAAGGTCATAGTGACCTTTGACCTTGTGACCCCAAAATCAATAGGGGTATTCTACCCAATATGGACAATCATCCTATGAAGTTTGAACACTGTGGGCCAAAAGGAACTTAAGTTATGCTCCGGGAAACTGTTTTCAGTTTTAAGGTCATAGTGACCTTGACCTTTGACATTGTGACCCCAAAATCAATAGGGGTCTTCTACCCAATATGGACAATCATCCTATGAAGTTTGAATATTGTGGGCCAAATGGAACTTAAGTTATGCTTCGGAAACCAAATTGCTAACGGACGGTAAGACAGACGGACGTTCTGACAAACGGACGAACGCCAGGGGGTATAACATTATATGCCCGAAATTCTTTCGGGCATATAAAAATGGTGTAAACAACCACAAAATCAGTAATTTTTTGCACATAACTTGAATCTTTGATTAAAATCTTAGTGTTTTGATTTACTTGAAATATTTTGGCATGCAACTTTAAACTTGAAAAAGAAAAGAAGTGAGAATTCAGGGATATAACTCATGGATATCATATATTTTTTTTTTCAGCTGGAAAAACACATTTGCAGCAACAAGTTGACTTGCTTAAGATGTAAGTAATATTAAAACAGTATTAAAATCCACGAAAAAAAATCGCCTTAAAAAATCTCATTTCCCTTTTTCAAGATTTTTTAAAATTTACAAATACTTTTAGCAGCACTAAAGAGCTAATAATGTATATTGATGATATATTAATATTGAATGACAAAATATCAACGAGACACCTTTGAAAAGTTAGGGTATGTGTGCAATATACAGAAGAGCTGACATTTATATGGTCTCATACATATCTATGATATATCAATATTGAATGACAAACAACATTTGTATTTTTTCTTTCCATGTCAATTTTGTATTCACTCTGTTTTCAAAACCATTAGTATTATCTATATTCCTATTACGTGCATTTTCGTAACAATTGTGTACCAAGTCCATTTTTAAGACATTTTCTAATACGTCCATTTTTCCAAAATAAGTATTATAAGGTCATTCCCAAATTCATTTTGTATTAAAATATATCCCTTTAATTAAAAAGACTATTGTATTATCAGGTACATTTTGAATGTGCTTGGCAATGATCAGGGACTGTTTGACAATGCAAGCAGGGAACTTGACAAAACAGATGGTGAGGAGGAACTAGAGGTAATCAGTTGCTATACATGTATATAAGTAATCATGAAATATATGTATTTGGTGGGAACTTTAGAATAAGAAAAAAGAAAGTCTTCAATATTTTTGTTATGCCAGATTTGTCACAGTATGTTATATGGTTGAATTATAAGATAGTATATATTAAGTATATCTTTTGTTTGTGTTTAAAGTTACTCCAACACTGTGAAAGTCAGATGGTGACTTTCCAGCTTTACTGGCAGAGATAAACCTTGAGACAAATGTATAAAGATTCTGAGAAAAGTAAAACATTCAAGATTCAAATTATAATTTTACATGTTATATGTAAATTATTATGTAAAATTAATGACTACTTTAGCAGTGTTTATCACCATATATCTACTGCCTAACTAATTACATACTTAATTTAAAAAACATTTTGACATACATTGTATATCTGGTAATTTAACTGGATTGTAAGTGCCGATTGTGTAAATAATTTTCTTGGTCTCTTGACAATATGTAACTTTAAAATTTAATTTCAAAATCTTTATGAAAATTAGCATGAATTTGGAGGCATGCTGCTTTAACTGTCCAATACTATATGACAATGCACCAAAAAACTTATATCTTTTTTCTAATTATTTGTATTACTCAAAACGATATATATTATTTTATCTAATATATAACCTTATTTTAAATGTACCTTAAAACCGTAATTGTTTTTCTATTACAGGAGAAGCTGATTCGTATTTTAGGACATGAAAAGTTCGGACTGTGTGGTGTAGAGCTCTTACATTACAAGAACTTTACATATAATCTTAAACACATGAAAAAATAAACAATGATGGAAGAACAGTATGTGACATTACATGTGAACTTTACATACAATCTTAAACACATGAAAAAGTGAACAATAACAGAGTAACATGTCATCATCACCTTAGTGCAGTAATGAAATAAGTTCTTCTAGATTTAATAGGAGTTAATCAGTTATTGCACAAAAAAGATGATGTGTAGCATCCCCTTTTTACATGATATACATACATTGAAAAGCACCATTTATTTTACCCGTTTTCATAATTATATAGAGACACTACAGTGTCAGCAAATACTTGATGAAAATGCTCATATAGTCATGGGTATTAAGAATTATATCAACCATGGTTAAAAAAAAAATTTACCAATTTTTTATTATGCTTATTTTGTTAATTAAAAATGTTGTATACATTATATTTGTAGTTTCCTACTGAATGTAGTTTTTTTAGTTATTTATTTTGATTAATATTCATCTGTCATTTATTACTTTTACATAATATACAGCATTATACATGTAAATATAACCTTATACATGTATCATAGGTCATTAACATTTCTTTTGACAGGTTATATGACCCAGTAGTTATGGTTTGAATCTTATATAATCTAAAACCCTCTGAGGGTTATATGACAAACAGCCATTTCTGCATGGCTATATAACCTAAAAGAAAATCTAAATAATGCTTTTATAATTGTACAGCAATTTTCTTCACTGGAGGAAAATTGAAATTTTCTTAAAAATTGACAGCAGTATATATAGATTATACCAGAGCGATCAGTAATCACATGTGTCGCCTCATGATGGCCAATTTCATGTTGGGACAAATTTTGTGACAGACGGACAGACAGACGGACAGTGCACAACTAGACTTGGTACTGATCATTCCTGTAAAGTTTGGATGAAATTGCAATAGTAGTTTATGAGGAGTAGTCCGGACAAGCTTTTGTGTATCTGGCAACACACAGAAAAAGAAACCTTTTTATCAAAGGGCCATAACTCAGCCAAAAATCATTCAACCGGAAAACCCGTGCAATATGCGCAAGGACTTGAGCTACAGATCAATCCTGTAAAGTTTCATTGAAATTGCATTAGTGGTATAAGAGAAGTAGTCCGGACAAACTTAAAAATAAAAAATTATTAAAGGGCCACAACTCTGACAAAAATCATTGAACCGGAAAATGCTGACAATATGCACAACTAGACTTGGTACTGATAATTCCTGTAAAGTTTGGATGAAATTGCAATAGTAGTTTATGAGGAGTGGTCCGGACAAGCTTTTGCGTATCTGGCAACACACAGAAAAAAAACACCTTTTTATCAAAGGGCCATAACTCAGCCAAAAATCATTCAACCGGAAAACCCGTGCAATATGCGCAAGGACTTGAGCTACAGATCAATCCTGTAAAGTTTCATTGAAATTGCATTAGTGGTATAAGAGAAGTAGTCCGGACAAACTTTAAAAATAAAAATTATTAAAGGGCCATAACTCAAACAAAAATCATTGAACCGGAAAATACTGACAATATGCACAACTAGACTTGGTACTGATCATTCCTGTAAAGTTTGGATGAAATTGCACCTGTAGTTTATGAGGAGTAGTCCGGACAAACTTTTGTGTATCTGGCAACACACAGAAAAAGAAACCTTTTTATCAAAGATCATTGAACCGGAAAATACTGACAATATGCACAACTAGACTTGGTACTGATCATTCCTGTAAAGTTTGGATGAAATTGCACCAGTAGTTTATGAGGAGTAGTCCGGACAAGTTTTGTGACGGACGGACGGACGGACAGACAGACAGACAGACAGACAGACGACGGAGAAGTGATCCCTATATGTCGCCACTACTCCGTAGAGGCGACACAATAAAAATCACAAAGAGTCCAATAAAAACAGACATTACAAATATCCAGTTACTTCTTTTAAAAGTGACTTATTATATTTTCTTTCACTAAATCATTTATTTCCAGAAAACACATTTTGTTTAGGTTCAAAATATAAATACTTTTTGAAAAAAAAAAGACATCTTTTTTCCCTTCATAATAGTAACAATATGATAAAAATTGCTTGCACTTTATGACGTTCATGACTAGCATACAGATATATTAAAAATCTATCACAGCCATAGTGTACTGTACATATCCTAAAACCTAAACCTAGTGGCCAATGTGTCAACATCACAATCCAAAAATCCTATGTTTGAACCCCTAATCGGGTCAGGATATTTTCTCCACAAATTAATGATATAACTATTGGTCTTTCCAGAATACATGCATGTTTTCATAAGCTCCATGATTTCTTTCATTATGATTTAGCTAAATTATATAGGTTTAAGCTAATGCCTTACAGACGCCCCTTTAAGACCAAACTTTCAAAATCTAAACAGTTGAATGTTACATAGGAGGCCACTTTATCTAGTATCACCAACATTTATATTAATTTTTTGACACTGCAGTCACTAATTTTGTATGTGCAATTGATGTCTATTGCAATATAACCAACCTACTTTACATGTATATAAAGTACTCCAACATTTTGATTATTTGTGTACACTTTCTGTCTCCTACAGATACTTTTACAGTCTATTCAATGAACCTACATCACCTTTATTAGATGTTACATGTTTGTAAAGTACATATCACTATACCATAGTTTTCTCATTCTCATTTTTTCTCCTCATTAACCCCAGTTGCTATGTAGTTCAGGAAACAGGAACCCTTTCTTCACGTTCAGGAAACCTTTCTTCAGTGACACATAGTAATTCCTCTCCTTCAAAAAATGCTCAATGCTATTATGTTTCACAAATTCTTCGAACTTCTCATTAAGGTAACTATAGGGATAGATCCCTTCTCTCTTGTATCAAGTTTATTTATCAACTTATAGATTCTTGCTTGATCTTTTGAAGATGTGCAATTTCTCTTTTCAAACTGAAATAAAAGAATAAGCAATAAGAAACATCATGTATTATTGTATTTCCTTTACAATGATTATTACATTGTATATTGTCAAACTCTCGAATGAGTATAGAAGTAATGAGTTTTAAAAATTAGAATAAGTATGTGTGGTTGGGGGGGGGGGTCCTGAAAATTACCAAAATGTGGGACTAGAGACCCCATGCCCTCAGCCGGAAAACTATTTCAACGTCAAATCACTTAATTATGCAATCCTGTAACCACACCTATACTTATTATCTCTCTTGGGTGTGCTTAATTGATACAGTACAAATCACTTATATGTAACATAAGATTTTGATGAAGGTGAGTCTGACTGTAAATTTTAAAGTAAAAATCATTCAGAAAAAAATCAAGTACATGTATACTATTTCATAACAGATAATAAATTTTGTCAAGTCCCTTCATACAAATCAAACTGTTGAAAAATATTTACCAAACTAATCTTATGTAACAAACTTGTGTTTTGTTAAGTTTATAATTTATCTAGTATTGCAGATTTACGGGATTTTTTTTCATCAAAATAACAAATGTATGCAATATGAGCAGATAATTGTAGTATGTGCTGACTGTTCAGATAGTTATACAGACTTGATTTACTATATATTGGCTACATATTGGTGGTACAGAAAAGTTATTATCATCCCAAACATCTTTTGTTGAGAATTAAGCCACAAGGGGCTTGGTAATGATCATATTTGATTTTTTAGAATTACTGATGTAGATAGCTTCAAGTGGCCCAATTTGCAATACTTGCATTTCAATTACAAACAGGCATCCAAGTAGAACCACAAATTGTCTGGAAGCTAGCTGGAAAACTACCTCTCTAGCAGGATTCAAACCTGCAGCAGTAAGAGGCAAATGAGTCAATGTCAGCAGCCTGAACCACTTACATACTGACCCTAAGCAAACATTCATAGAGTTAAAAGTTTACCTTGCAATTTTCTCCTGACAAGTAACCTCTACCTCATGTTTAGTCAGTCTAGCCAGCTCAGTCATTGTGTACTGTAAAGTATAACAAATAATCATAACTTTTAATTTTCATTCCTTTTCTTGTTTTCCTTGATGAATCTGGCAAAAATTATGTTCCCTTCACAAAAAAGTCAAGCTTCCTTTACAAAATATTTACATTCTTTCACAAAATAATTAATATTATGCTTCCTTCACAAAAAATGTCAAGTTTCCTTCATTAAATATCAAATTCTTTCACATAACGTTAATGCTTCCTCACAAAATATAATGTTTCCTTAACAAAATATTGAGTTTTCCTCCATTAATTATTGTATTTCTTTCACAAATTATTACAATCTACACACAAAATATTATGTTTCTATCACAAAATATTGTTTCATTGACAAAATATCAAATTTCCTTCACAAAATTTTCTGTTTCATTTACAAAATACAAAATTTCCTTCACAAACAATTAAAGTCCCTTAAAAAAAACCTTCCAAATTTCTTTCACAAATAAATTTCCTTCATAAAATTTCCTTCATAAAATACTAAATTTCCTTCACAATTAAATTTCCTTCACAAAATATCAAATTTCCTTCACAAAATACCAAATTTCCTTCACAATTAAATTTCCTTCACAAAATATCAACTTTCCTTCACAAAATATCAAATGTCCTTCATAAAATATATTATCTTTACCTGTACATTACTAGCCTGCCTCCTGAAGTAGCAGTTACCCTCTTCATCATCATGTATGGGGTGTAAATTAACCATGGTTCCACATCCATCATCATGGTTTAATGGATCATCTGAGTCCCATGGCTTTACTTTAATTTCAATCACATAATCTTGTAGCATAATACCCTGCAATATAAAGTGGATATTGAATGAGTGCAGGTTCAATACTGAATGTAATGAACAAGTTAAACACATGATTTAATTTATTAACAAGTTCATAAAGTTATTAATGAATCTACATGAATATAATATTCTATTTATCACATATCCAAAATAAGACTGTTTACAGTAAAAATATATCACATTTTCATTGATGTATGTATAAAGTAACACTAACATTTAGTGCAATATAAGCCCATAGAGCAGTAACTGTAATGTAACTTTCTTGCAAATTGTAAAATTATTTAGACTTGAAACGACTTTCACTAGTTCTGTTTTAATTTTACAATAGTAAAAAGTCAATTTTTTTTTAACTCAGGAATTTTTAGCTGTGGCTTTTTGACCAACAAGCTGTAAACAAAGATGCCCCTAAAAAACTTTTTTCAAGCATTCAAGTAAAAGTATCAATCACTGACAATCTACAAGACTTAGTAAAACTATTTAACATAAGGTCAAGTCCGTAGAGACAGAAATAAGTTCAAAGGGAAATAAATCTGAAAATATCGATGCTAGAGTTATGAACCTTGTCGCATTAGATGTGGATGATGATAACGTACATATATTTGAAGTATGAAATTGATCCCTTAAGAAATAAAGCAATTACAGTAAAAAATAATATTTTTTTAAGGAAAATTCTAAGTTCTAAGGGAGATAAATCTAAAAATATTGGTGCTAGAGTTATGAACCTTGACGCATAAGATGTGGTTGATGATAAGGAACATATATTTGAAGTATGAAGCTGATCCCTTAAGAAATAAAGCAGTTACAGTAACAATAATATTTTTTAAGGAAAATTCTAATTTCAAGGGGAGATAAATCTAAAAATATTGCTAGAGTTATAACCCTTATCACATAAGATGTGGTTGATGATAAGGAACATATTCTTGAAGTATGAAGTTGATTCCTAAAGAAACAAGAGGGCCATGATGGCCCTGAGGTCGCTCACCTGTATATAGGCCCC